CCACTACTTCACCAAATGTCCAAGTTCTCCTCATCCCTGTGGCCCACCATGAATACCAAGGCCTCTGTGGATTCACGAATGTCTTCTTCCTTCTTCCTTCTTCCTCCAATTGGGAGTAACTTCCCCACTTGGAATTCTCATAACATTGTATTTGTATCTCTCTTGTAGCATTGCTGTTAAAGCCTCATAGTTACTCAAAGGAAGGTCCCTGAGGCCAAGGACCATCTTTCTATTAGGATCCATCTATACCTGATACAGAGCATGCACTTTGGCTAATTCAATGGCTCTTCAAGTGTGGTCTCAGGACCAGCAGCATCAGCAGGCCTGGGAACTTGTAAGACATGCAAATTCTCAGGTCCACCACACACCTACTAATTCAGAAACTCTGGAGGTAGAGCCAGCCATCTGTGCTTTAATAAGCCCCCCAGACGATGCTGAGGAAGCTAATGTTTGAGAACCACTGGGTTAACTGAAGGTCTTTTACTGGCCATTATAAGTACTTTTTTTTTTTACTTTACCTAAGAACATAGCTTTAAACTCAGATTATTATTTGAAAACTTCTCTATATTTTTAAATCCTTATTAGAGGATATGTTTATTGATTTTAGAGAGAGAGGAAGGGAGAGAGAGAGAGAATGTGAAACATCGATCAGTTGCCTTCCATCCTCACCCAGGCTAGGTATGTGCCCTGATGGGAAATTGAACCTGCAACCTTTTGGTATGCTTGGCCATGGCTGAAAACTTCTCATTAATTTTTATGTCTTCCTATTTCTTGTCATATCATTTATATAAGAAATCCTTTATTAGCTAAGGAAATTTGAGCAATAGAAACATGGTATCATTGTGCCTTAGAGAACTCCAGTGGCTCAAGTAGCATCCAAGAATTAAACATTGAATGATTGAGATCTGAAATAACTGATGGTTGAACTTCCTAGTCTGTTTTTTTCACATTCTCCTATGCATTCCTTCCTTCCCTTTCCTTTCTCACTTTTTATTTTCGCATTTACAATTCTCCTAGGTTACAGTTCTCTGAGAGTATGTACTTTGGAGAAAAGATGCTACAAAAATTTCAAACATTTGTAATAAAAATCAAAGATGTCTCAACAAGCTCAAGTGGAGTAGCCCAGAAAGTTTAGAATGAGTGGGGAAACGATCCATTTTGCTCACATTCTTTTGGTCACCCATTACTTCAGAGACAGGATTTTAATCAATGTGGAAAGACATCTTTCCTTGGACTTTAATTCACTTCACACTGTTCCAGGCATACTTACTGCTCTGTGAATTTCAGCATTTACTGCAGGGGTCAGCTTCCTATGGTGTAGAAAGCTGCTCTGAACGTCTGCCAACAACTTTTGAGCTTTTGTGTCACCTCAGCCCTGGGTGATAATCAGACAAGCTCTGGGCTAGGCTAAGGTGTCACCAATGCTCAACAAAGATGCCCCAAACCAGCAGTCATCCTTAATAGGCAGCCTGTTCTTTGCTTAACATCCTAACACTTTCTTATCATTCCTAACACTTCCTATTCATGTGTGAGTACTATACATGATTATGTGTGTGTATAGTACTCACACAAGTGAAATATATATATAAAGACTGAGTGAAGAGAATTTCAGTAGCACAAAAGGTTTCTCATTCACTGTAATGAATGCATAGATACAAGGGTCAGTCCTTTTTCTTCAATTACAGTTTACATTCAATATTATTCTGTGTTAGTTTCAGATGAACAGCGTAGTGGTTAGACAATCATGTACTTTACAGAGTGCCCCCCCCCCCACTGCCTCAAACACCCACCTGGCCCCATGCTTATTTATCACAATATATTCCCTATGCTGTAATCTACATCTCTGTGACTATTCTGTAACTACCAATTTGTACTGCTTAATCCATTCACCTTTTTCACATAGCCCCTCAATCCTCCTCCCCTCTGACAACTGTCAGTCTTGATACACATCCTATATAATAAAAAGCTAATATGCAAATCGACCGAATGGCAGAACGACCGGTTGCTATGATGCACACTGACCACCAGGGGCAGATGCTCAACACAGGAGCTGCCCCCTGGTAGTCAGAGAAGCCAGGCTCAGAGCTGATGAGTGCAGCTGCGGTAGTGGGAGCCACTCCCACCTCTGTGGCAGTGCTAAGGATGTCCGACTGATGGTTTAGGCTCGCTCCCTGCAGGGAGCAGGCCTAAGCTGTCAGTCGGACATTCCCTGAGGGCTCCTGGACTGTGAGAGAGCACAGGCCAGGCTGAGGGACCCCCCTGAGTGCACAAATCTCGTGCACCGAACCTCTAGTCTCTTAATATCTGTGTATAACAAAAAGGAGAGAATGGGAGCAAATGTACAGCATCCACATACCCCAGCATCCACATGCATACTTTCTTTGTAAATACAACATTGTAGTAGACATTTCCTCATGTAGTGAGAACTGTACATATCAGAATTGCATTTTATAATATATAAATACCAATTAGGTCACTCCCCAAATCTCTTAAATGTTTGGAGAAAGGATATATGGAAATTCAAGAAATAGGTCTTCCAAGTCTTAAAGAAATAAAATACAAAGATTTTCTTTCCTATAAATATCTTCATAGTTCTGGTGATTCTGTTCCAAGGAAGCATTGAATTGCAGATGAACTTGAGTTTCAGGAAATGTAGTCAGTATCCAAACAGATATCGAAAGATAAAATTCTTTACTCTTAAGAACCTGCTATATCTTTGCCATATCCAATTAGGTTACCAGTAAGTCATTGCTCATTTGGTGGTTAAAGAAGTAAGAGTCCGAAAAATGGTGAGAAAGTGAGCTATCTTTCTGTTCCAAATATATCATGATTCATCTCTGAGATACTATCTTGAGAAATCTGGCTCATATAGACTCTCTGACATTGCTTTCAGTGTCTTAACTATTTAGGGTAAGGTTTGTTTTTGCTTTTGTATGTGTATGTGTTTTTACTTTTTATTGAATTTATTGGGGTAACATTGGTTAATAAAATTATATAGGTTTTAAACTATTTTTTATTGATTTGAGAGAGGGAGCTAAACATCAATGCGAGAGAGGAACATCGATCGGTTGCCTCCCATACACACCCCAACCAGGGATTGAACCTGCAACCTAGGTGCATGCCCTAACCAGGAATAGAACCCACAGCCTTTTAGTGTATAGACGATGCTCTAGCCAACTGAGCCGCACTGGCCAGGGCTAAAATTATGTAGGTTTTAGGTGTATAAGCCTATAATACATCATCTATACATTGTATTGTGTATTTATCACCCCAAGTCAAGTCTCCTTCTACCACCTTTATTCCCCCTTTACTCTCTTCTACCTCCCTCGGGCAAGTTTAATTATAAAAGAAGGACATCCTGTTTTCAGCTCTCAAAATGTTGACATCCAGATTATAGTGAATTATTTTTCACCATGGAAAGGACAAAGAGAGTCTTTTTTCCCCTCCATGTTAGCATAATGTGAGTTTTAAGAAAGGATTTTAATCTGTGGGGACAGGGAAAGTGCACTGTGTTTGACTAATTTGCTGTGCCCAGCGGAGGCGCCTGTTTTCTTCCCTGGCTCCAACTTGCTATTCAGTTTCATCTAAATGTATAACATAGTACGTACCATTCCAAGGAACACTGTCAACCTGGTGGGTGATGCTAATTTGCTTACATGAACCTTTGGGAAAGGGGAAGAAAGGCCTGGGCATTGGGATGACACAATTTACGTAAGAGGACCCAAAAGCTAGGACTCTTTGTTCTTGACAGTTTCCTGAGCGTCTAGGCTCAGTCATCAACAAAAACCAACCAGCCATGGGGTTGCCCGTAGCTCCAGTCTCACTATGTTCTAGCACCATCCCAGTTGGCAATGAAAAGCATATTTATTCATGGTCCTTCTCGAGCCTCTGGGACCCACACTGGCCAGTTCTGCCCAGCAAGATATTTCTACTCACCCTCTTTGGACTGCACTATTTCCGAAAACCCAGCCCCTTAAACAAGACTTGGTTTTCAGGCTTATTTCTTCCTCTATTTGTCATCATGGGGAAAAATTTCAAATAAAACATTATGAATTCAACAGCTGGCCAGCTTCTCTTGCCCTTGTTACGGATATCTATAGAAAGTGGAAGGGGAAGACTGAACGGGGAATAGTTGACACTTCTTCCTGAGACATGAAGCAGGTGAATGGAGGCAAGGCGACCTTCCTACAGAAAGGGGAATAGTTAATAGTAGCTTCAGTGGTTCTCAACCATCCTAATGCCGCAACCCTTTAATACAGTTCCTCATGTTGTGGTGACCCCCAACCATAAAATTATTTTCGTTGCTACTTCATAACTGTAATTTTGCTACTGTTATGAATCGTAATGTAAATATCTGATATGCAGGATGTATTTTCAGAGGTCGCGACCCACACGTTGAGAACCGCTGCGAGTCTATTTACTAAGTGCTTCCTCTCTGCTAGGCACCAAGATATCCACCCAAGCTAAGTGTTTTTCATAGATTATTTTACTTAATCCTCATCTAAGCAATATTAAACCCTATTTGACAGATGGGGAAACTGAAGCTGAGTGAGTTTAAGTTGCATGTTCAAATTACAGAGCTAGTAAATAGCAGAGGCAAGTTTAGAAAAGACGCCTACTTTCCCCAAAGCGTGGGCTCTTCCCAAGAATCTATACTTTTCCCAACTGAAAGATGGGGCAGCTAAGCAGTTTCCATTTCATTCCAAGCCCTGGTTCTCTACTGTGTGCTCTCTGTCCCTCCCCCAGGGAACATTTGGCCATATCATTGTCACAACTGGTGGGGGAGTTGCTACTGGCATCTAGTGAGTAGAGGCCATGATGCTATTAAACATGCTACAATGCCCAGGACAGCCCCCAATAACAAAGAATTATCTGGTCCAAAATGTCCATAGTGATAAGGTTAAGAAACCTTGATTCAAAAGATGGTGGATTTTTAAAGCCAATTCACAAGAAGAAGGTTTTGTCTGTACCTCACTCATATGTACTTTGTCCCATCACAGATGACAGCAGTCTTCTAAATCTAACTTCCTACCCTCTGGTTAGAAGACGGAAGAGAAGGTTCTTTGGGCTATGTTGTCTCGTCTCCAGCTAGACAATTCCTCCTGGAAACCCACCCCAGGGGAGACCTGAAAAAACAACCACAGACGCCGAGGACCTCCAGACAGCTGAACCACAGTTATTGGTTTCTGACTATGTTTTCTATGCTTCCTTATTACTTCTATCCGCCTCTCTCTACCCTTTTAAATGATTTTACATTTGAAAGTAGCTGCTGTCAAGGGGAAAAAAACAACAACACAGATTCAAAAAGCAGGCTGTTTTTAAAAGGATTTTTAAAGTCGACAGTGTGCATGTCTGCTCCAAACCATACCATGACAGATGCAAGAATTATGATTTTTAAATTATTTAAAGGTCTTTTAAAAAGGATTATACAGAGAAAAATCATTTCATGTATACTAGTAACCCTATAGCTCTTGCTGATCTCATGTTAACAATTTATCTTATGTGGAAGAAGTCTTTAAACATAGAAATCCATTTAAAACTGCAAAACTGTGTTAAAATCCAATCTATCAATATCATTAGAAACAATATAAGCAAACACACCACCTCACCTATTGCTTTCTCTGCTTTCATTTACATTTAGTCTTCCATTCCGTCAGAATCTAAGAGCTTCAACAGAAAAATCTCTTAATTTATAATGCAGCAAAGACCATATATGAAAAGTGTTTAAATTTTGTAAATACACAATAATCCTAATACCTTCGTACAATGCATATGGGCAATTAATTTCCTTTCGATCCAATGGTGTCTTTTTCAGCTTCTTGGAGAATGAAGTAATCCAGTTAGGAAATGGTGTAGTAACATATACAATTACCCTCAAATGTAAAATTTGAATATTATGACATTTTGTTCTAATTGAAATCTGAAGCATGAAGTCTGCGCATCAGCATAGTGTTAACTCTTTAGGGCATGCTGGAATTAGCTCAGATCGTAAAAATATTTAACATTTTACATTGTTAATAAAATCTTTTCAGTTCAGCTAAGCTTGTCTCATTTTAGATGACTATGCAGATATGACTTTTCCAATGTGTACTCGGTGTCTTATCTTATGCAGATTTCTGAAAGCAGGTACATGAAGCAATACTACATTTTAGAAAGGAGGAAGCCACGTGCTGTTTTTCTGCTCACAGCTTTGTTGTGATCTTCCTCCACTAAACTTGTAACATGGTACACATGTTGTTATATTCCCCACTGTTCTTTCTTTGGCCCATTTCTCAGACAGAATTTCCCATAGGTTGGCAGATCAGGCCTTTGGACTTCTTTTCTTTTTACCATAGTCTGAAAAATCCTGAAGTCAGACAAGAGGCACCAGTGTCTGGTATAGTAAAAGGATGAGCAAGATGCCTATAAGTGGTTTATTCAAAGCGCATCTTTAATCCCAACCCTATAATTTCTTCCTACTTATGAACACAGGCATTTACATGTCCACCAATATTTTGACCTGAAAACTAAGCATATTAAAGCCTTTAGCTTTATTGAAGATGAAGACCAGGTACAGACAAGTTACTGGAATAATTAGTGTATTAGGCTGAATTATATGAAATAGCTGATATTTGACTGTTTTGACCTGAGAAATGGCAATTTCATATAGTTCAACATAATATCTAGTGTTGTGGAAATAATCTTTGGAATTGTCTTCTAGGTTTTCCAGGTTGAAAGGATTAAAGGGTTGGAAGAGATCTCAAAGGCTATGCAGGTCGCTGTGTGGATCACACCAGCTGGCTCTTGGCCTTATTTGTGGAGTCAGAGTTGTGTTCCAATGAACTGGTAATGGATGCATGATTATAGGTATGCTTGGCTTCATATAAAGAAGTACCCTCAAAAATTACCCGAGAAAATCACAATTTTCTGAATCAAATACTTGTAAAACAAAACAGTTGTGGGGATATGCTATTTAAAAGACACCTCGGGTGAGTACTCCCCTGCAAAGCGGGTAACCATTCCCAGATTTACCTGGTCTGCAAACCCTGGTTTTCATAAATGAGGTTTGATTAAAGCTTAATGTCTTTTCCCGAATGTGGTTCATTTTTATCCCCTGGATCATTGTTTTAGAGATTATGAAGTAGCCTAATTTGGCACGTTCTCTCTCCCGTCTCTGTCCTCTCCCATCTTTCTACTATATTAAACCCCAGCTTCATTCTAGTTCCTACTAATCCATGCGCAGTTATTAACGGATAACTCTAACCTTGGTGTTCAGCACGTTCTTCTAAATGCCTGGCCTAAATCACTTCTGCTTGGTTAATTTGTGCTCACTCTAGCCTTAGTCTCTTAGTCTCAGCGTAAAAGTAACACTTAACTTCTGTGCAATTGTGCTTTGTACAACTGAAGACTGTTAATCAATTCAGGTCTCACCTCCATGATTGGGAGGACCATAGTAGCATTTCATGGAGATGGGAATTTGTCTAATTCCCTAGCTAGGCTTTTCATACCTAAGGTAAATAAATGCAACCACTTTATCTTCTATTCATAGTGCCTGTTTCCCAGCCTTTGATCAGTTTTGTAGTTCCCTTAGACACACTCCAAGATTTATAGATCCTTTTTCAGTGGCAGGTCCTAAAAATTAAATTCAGTCCTCAAAGTCCTGATAACCTACACTGGCTCATAGTTGCAACAGGTAATTCACCGTCTCCCATTAGATATGCCAATGCGTCTCTTTAGGAGCCTGTCCCCCTGTCCTCTCCCCACCAAAGGACTTTCTCAGGTGTAGTTCCATGAGATAGAGTTCTAATGTCTCAGCTTCCTGCTGGCATCTGCTTCCAGATTAGCAATAACACTGAGCTGATCTCTAGGGATAAGGAGAGAACCTTGAATTCATTTTGTTGCATGTACTCACATGCTTGAAAAAGAAAAGGATGTGAGCTTCTTCTGGCACAAAATCTTCCATTTTACCGCCATATTGTTAATGCCCCATGCTGCCTTCTCTTTTTTATTTTATGATTATGAGGCATGTTCTTTGCAGGAAATCTAAAAAAAATACCACTAAGTATAAAGAAAATAAAAATCACCCAGATCCCGCCACGGTCACATTGTTTAAATCCACATTTCTAGGCGTTGCATCAGTCAGTGGTGGGGCCCACAGGCACTTTTGGATAAGGTTTGTAAAGAAATGCCCGGAAGGCCAAGGTGTCACTTTAAAATATGAGTCCACTAATGTTTTGCACACATTGAGGACTTCTGGGTGTGCCATTGTTCTGGAGTACAAAGAAGACTTTAGAAGTAGCACAGCCCTGCTGCCTCCTCTAATGAAAGCTCGTGGGGAGATTCTAAAATCCTGCCAGATCCTTTGGCTCCTTGGTGCTCCATGTAACATTTGATACTTACTGTTTGGCAATACTGCCACCTTCTGAAAGCTGAGCTTTAGAGTGAGAGGGGGAAACCAAGTAGAAAAGCATCTAATTTATCTTAGACAGCAAACAAATGGGCCATATTAACAATGATCCCATATGAATTTCAGACTCTGGAAGTCTCAGAGTTGAAAGGATCAGGGATATCTCCCAGATTAATTTCCCACCCCACACACATCCCTAGGCAATGTCTATCATTTCTTTGTATTCTAGAATGTCACCAAATGCAAAATGCTCAAGTTTCAGGTAACTATCGATAGCATGAAAAAGAGTAGTGATGGTATTGGCTCAAAATAAATCATTAGCATTAAATATAAAGTCCAGAAATAAACCCAAGAACATAGAAGAATGGAGTACATTATAAAAATGACATTTCAAATCCCTGAGGAAAGATTAGATTATTAAGTAAATTATATTGGTACTAGAGGCTCGATGCATGGATTCATGTACCAGTGGGGTACCTCAGCCTGGCCTGCGGGGATCAGGCTGAAACCGGCTCTCTGACATCCCACAAGGGGTCCCGGATTGAGAGAGGGCAGTTCTCAGGTGACGCACCCCAGAATCGGGCTCCCCCCCTCTGTGGTTCCAGGTGCATCACCCGAGAACCACAGCTGCCAAGTCACTGCAGCTCGGCAGCTCCTGCATTGAGCGTCTGCCCCCTGGTGGTCAGTGCATGTCATAGATAGCGGTTGGACGGTCGCTTAGGCTTTTATATATAGATAACTGGTTAGCCATTTGGGGGAAATTATTATATCTATGCCTCATAACTTTTATCAAAATTAATTCTGACTGCAGTAAAGATTAAAATGCTAAAGCAAATAAATAAACATATAAAAGGACTAGCAGGCAATACGGATGAACATTTATATAATTTTCATGTAGAAAACAGCCTTTCTAAGCATGACACAAAAGGAAGAAACAACAAAGGAAAAGATGGATGGATTTGACCAATTGAAAATCCAAAACTCCTATACAATGAAAAATAAATCAGATAAAGAGAAAACAAAAGTTGAAATATATGCAACAAAAAGTGTAGACCTGTAATATATATCAGAAGTTTAAATTGCACTACTTTGAGAAGTTTCCATGGTTTACAATCCCCTATCCTTTCAAATGTTGCCATTTCATTCTTTTCTCTTCTACTGCACTTTTTCATTATTGCTTATTTAATTGTCTATATCCACTAAACTAGAAGTTCAAGAAGGCAGCAACCATGTTTCTTTTGCTTACTGCTATATCTTCTACACCTAACACAGTGCTAGACACAAAGCAAATACTAAAAACATTTATTGGATGAGTGAATAATGAATTCATGAATAAATGACATTTTATGACTCAAAAAAATATCAAACTTTCCAGTAGAAAATTGAGCCAAGACACGAACTGGCAATGTACCATAAATTTAAATAATGCACTAATGATAAATATGAAACTATTTGAATATACTGGTAATCAAAAATGTAAATTATTGTAATATATTCCTTTTTGTGTATCAGAAAGGTATAAAGAATTAAAGTGCCCAGGGACAGAAGGAAGTGTGGAAATGAATATTCTCTCACAGAGTCAACATGAGTGTAAATTGAGTCAATCTTTCTGGAAAATATTTTGGCAATGTATTTTACATGTATGCCAGGTAATTCCACTTTAGGGAAATTCTCCTCGAAAAGGTCAGGAAAAATGAACTAAGTTACATTCATTCATCATTCAAAAAATATATGCAAGAAAGGATGCTTATAGCAGCAATATTTGGGGGAATAGAAAAATGTAAATATGTCTACAGTAAAGGGCTGGTTAAATATGGTATATCCTTTCAATGGAATACTGTGCATCAATTAAAAATAAGAATCATATGTATATGTAGGGAAATGAAGAAGCTATATTGTTAAATGAAAAAAAGGAAGTTACAGAAGAAATCCATTTTAAAAAATATACATATTCATGTGTGCATTAAAGAGTCTGAAAGGTTATTTGCTAAAATTTTAACAGTAATTATCTCTGAGAGGTGAGATTTGGAGCAATTATATTTTCTTTTTGCATATCTGTAATTTCTGAATTTTCCACAATGAGCATGTAGTATCTGTATAATTTTTCAGGGAATAAACAGCAATGTTCACAATATATATTAAATATAAAACACATGTTATAAAACAGTATGGATAGTATGATACAATATTTGTAAAAAAGATAATTATATATAAATCTATCTATGTATGTATATATATGCATAAGAAAGCTAGAAGGACATACATTAAATGTTAATAGTAGTTATTTATGGGTAGTGGGATTATGGGTGATTATTATTTCTTTTCGCTTTTCTGTGTTTTCTAATTTTTCTACAATGAATATGTATTACTTGTGTAATAAAAACTATTAATAAAAGTTAAAAAAAGAATTAAAAGGTGAAATAAACTTTGTTACTCACCACTTTCCTTCATCCTCCTCATACCCAGAGAGGCAGAGAGAAAGGGAGAGAGGAGAGGAGAGGAGAGGAGAAGAGAGGGAGGGGAGGGGAGGGGAGAGGCAGGGTGGGACTTGGAGGTAAGGAGAGAAGGGAGAGAGGGAAATTGTATAGAAAGAAGTCAAAGTCAAGTCAGTGGAGGAAGGATTAAAATAGGCTTTGGAAACTATTTTACTCATGATAGCACTGTATCTAAATTTAGCTCCATTTTTCAGAAAGCTACAACAACGACAAAATATATCGAGTTAAATAATTGTATTTTCTAATAAAAGAAAATTATACACATGTGTGGGGAGACATCTAGGAATTAAGCTCTGACAGAAATGTCTCCCAAGAAGTTTCTCCAAAGGCAAGCTTTGCGGTCCAGCTAGTTGTCATGAGCTGTGCAGTACAGCCTGAAGTCACACAGACTTTTGTCTGAATCTCGGCTATTCTGCAACTAAGTATATGACTATGGCTAGCAGTTCCAATATCCATTCTCTCCCTTTTTCCTGTAGTAACAGAGACCCAAAATTTCAGCGAGACACTGGCCACCTAAAGTAAAGACTCCATTTCCCAGGCTCCCTATACTGTATATCTGAATTTTGGACTATAGGATCTGAGTGGAATTGTGTGATTTCCGGTAACATTCCTAAAATAAGGGGCATGCATTTCTATGTTCTTCCTCCTTTCCCACTAGGCTGCAATGAAAACATAACGATGGAGCTGAAACAACTGTTTTGGAGTCAGAAATGGACACTACATGAAGTTAACAGAAGTGCCTTAGCAGACCCGAGTCCCTTTCTTCTTCCTGTTATCTGCTAAATGATGAATCCATTTATAATTTATATCTCATTTAAGGCATTAATAAGGTGAATCTTTGTACAGAAGAACCTGCTCACTAAACTAATTAACATCTGTGAGCCTCGGTTGCCTCAGAGTAAAATGAAGATAATATTAATATCACAAAAGGTTCAACCCAATAACTGTCCACTTGTTGGCTTAGTACTAAAGCTCATTTATGAGAACAATCCAACAAATGAATCATTGCATGAGACTGTGCACAGAACAGTGGACAAAGGGAAATCTTTTAAATAAAGTGTTTTTAAATCAAATGGTCAATTGGTTTGCATATGAAAAAAATTAAACTTCTATTTTGCCTCATTCCAAGTTGATTATTGACCTTAAGGTAAATGGTAATCTACACTAATAAAAGAGAAACATGGTAATTGGCGTACGACCGCTACCCTTTTCATTGGCTAATCAGTGAGTATATGCAAATTAACTGTCAGCCAAGATGGCGGCCGGCAGCCAGGCCCTGAAGCGAGCACGAGGCTTGCTTGCTGCAGACTCCAACGTTCCCCGCCTCACTTGCCAGCCTCTCAGTTGCAACTCTAAGCAACTATATACTATGTTGCAAATAAGAAGGTAAACAAAACCCCAGAAAACAGCCGGACTGAAACCCAGCCGGACCGAAACATTGTATCCATGTTTTCAGCAGCGAGGCCTCAGAGCTAAAGCTGGCCCAAAAAAAAAAAAAAAAAAAAGAAAACAAGGAGCGGTTGGAAGCTTCAGTCACTCGC